CACCATTGCGTTTTCAGGGATTCAAGCACGACAACAAAACTTCGAGTGGTTTTTGACGCATCAGATAAGATGACATCTGGAATATCACTCAACGACAAACTGATGGTTGGACCTACAGTTCAGAAAGACCTCTTCAGCCTTCTGATTCGCTTCCGAATGCATCAGGTAGCACTTTCAGCCGACATTGCGAAAATCTACCGCCAGGTGGAGTTGGAAGAAGAAGATAGAGACTATCATCGAATCTTGTGGAAAAATCAAAACTCGACAGAGGTTAAGCACTACCGAATGACCAGAGTTACCTACGGAATTGCTTCTTCAGCCTTTCATTCGATACGACCTTTTCAAGTGCTTGCTGAAGAAAGTGACGACGACTCATTTAGAAGAGCAACACTCAACGACATGTACGTAGACGACCTTCTATCAGGATCTTCAGATACTGAATCAGCTATTCAACTACAGGATGGATTCATCAATACATTCGGTAAAGCTGGATTTGAAATTCGCAAATGGACATCAAACTCCCAGTGCACAATCGAGAAGCAGCAGACGAAATGACAATCAAAAATGACGAGCATGTCATCAAAACACTTGGAATCAAATAGAACCCAGTGCCAGATCATTTTAGTTTTGCCGTTAAATTAAGCAATCAGATTCCGGTGACCAAACGACAAAAACTTTCAGAAGTCACGAGACTCTATGACCCCAATGGGCGGCTTTCACCTACGACGAATCAACTGAAATCATTCATACAACTCATGTAGATGGACAAGATTTCGTGGGATCAAACGATATCAGTCACACTACAGGAACACTATGGACGCCATCGACAGCAGTTTAAGGAACTGGAAGACATCAAGATGTCTCGCCGAGTTCTTCCAGCGCAGACAACCAAAGACCTTCAACTTCATGTTTTCTGTGACGCATCAACTACATCATATAAATCTCTCGTGTATATGCGACAAGAAACCAGCGAAGGTACCACACACGTCAAAATGTTGACCGCAAAAACACGAGTTGCGCCTATTAAATGCATTTGTGTTCCACGCATGGAACTTTGTGCAGCACTTCTTGGATCGAAACTAGTGGAAGCAACTCTAGCCGCCATCAGTGACAAACGGTTTATCATACCAACTGTTTTCGCATGGACCGACTATCAAGTTACAATTGCGTGATTACGAGAATTTACTCGCAAGTGGAAGACTTTCGTTGCTAATCGAGAAATTCTACCAGCCGAAAAATGGAAATTTGTGCCGACGAAAAACCCAGCTGATTGTGCTTCTCGGGGAATTTTATCATCAGCTCTAGCATATTATGAACTTTGGTGGAACGGACCAACATGGCTCTCACAGTCATCAGACAACTGGCCGAGAGCAGAATTAATCCCAGCGGAGACGACACAACAAGAAACCAGAACGATTGAAGACAGCGGATCTGTTACAATGGTGACAATGGAAAAAGAGAACAGAGTCTTAGATCTTTTGACCAGGTTTTCACGGCTTCCAAAGATTGTCAGGATCTTAGGCTACGTCAAGAAATTTGTTAAAAACTGCAGAACTCAGCCCCAGGCTCGATTTTCAAGCTGCAGTTCAAAACGTAGCAAATGCAACAACTGCTACAGGAGGTACTCAGACTCGGGATGGTATTAAAAGAAGGTTAGGTTTGGGGACAAAGGAAAGCGACGATGCCGGGGAAAGTTATAGTACAAAAACAGGTGTTGGTACAGGAGTAGGTTTTGCTATTAAGAGTAATCGCAAAAACTAAACGAAAAAACATAAGGAAACCCGGGAAGGTATTGGTACAATGGCAGGTATTTGTGCAAAGGTTGCTATTGGTAAATGTAAGGGTATGAATAGTGGTAACGCATTCTACTGAATGCTAGTAAAGGTACAGGGACAAGACCAGATGATGTAACAGGTCCGGGTACTGATTTGGATACAAACGCAAATTCTGCTAGTGCCACTGATTGTCATTCTGGTAAAGGTGCATGTAGGGAAATTGGAGGTGGAGGAACGGGATGGGATAGCAGATGCTTTCGGAAAGCTGGGCAGCAGGTTTCGCAGCAATCGCTAATCGCGCGAAGGCAATAATTTCATCGATCAGAAACTCAGGAAGCAAAAACAACGACCTTCAACTTCATGTTTTCTGTGACGCATCAACTACAGCATATGCAGCTGTCGTGTATATGCGACAAGAAACCAGCGAAGGTACCCCACACGTCAAAATGTTGACCGCAAAAACACGAGTTGCGCCTATTAAATGCATTTGTGTTCCACGCATGGAACTTTGTGCAGCACTTCTTGGATCGAAACTAGTGGAAGCAACTCTAGCCGCCATCAGTGACAAACGGTTTATCATACCAACTGTTTTCGCGTGGACCGACTATCAAGTTACAATTGCGTGGCTACGAGAATTTCCAGAGAAATTTCCGAGAAATTCTACCAGCCGAAAAATGAAAATTTGTGCCGACGAAAAACAACCCAGCTGATTGTGCTTCTCGGGGAATTCCATCATCAGCTCTAGCATATCATGAACTTTGGTGGAACGGACCAACATGGCTCTCACAGTCATCAGACAACTGGCCGTGAGCAGAATTAATCTCAGCGGAGACGACACAACAAGGAACCAGAACGATTGAAGACAGCGGATCTGTTACAATGGTGACAGTGGAAAAAGAGAACAGAGTCTTAGATCTTTTGACCAGTTTTTCACGGCTTCCAAAGGTTGTCAGGATCTTAGGCTACGTCAAGAAATTTGTTAAAAACTGCAGAACTCATCCCCCAGGCTCGATTTTCAAGCTGCAGTTCAAAACGTATCATATGCAACAACTGCTACAGGAGGGACTCGGGATGGTATTAAAAGAAGGTTAGGTTTGGGGACAGAAGAAAGCGACGATGCCGGGGAAAGTTATGGTACAAAAACAGGTGTTGGTACAGGAGTAGGTTTTGCTATTAAGAGTAATCGCAAAAACTCAATGAAAAAACATAAGGAAACCCGGGAAGGTATTGGTACAATGGCAGGTATTTGCGCAAAGGTTGCTATTGGTAAATGTAAGGGTATGAATAGTAGTAACGCATTCTACTGAATGCTAGTAAAAGTACAGGGACAAGACCAGATGATGGAACAGGTGCGGGTACTGATTTGGATACAAACGCAAATTCTGCTAGTGCCACTGATTGTGATTCTGGTAAAGGTGCAGGTAGGGAAATTGGAGGTAGAGGAACGGAATAGGAGGGCAGATGCTTTCGGGAAGCTGGACAGCAGGTTTCGCAGCAATCGCTAATCGCGCGAAGGCAACAATTCCATCGATCAGAAACTCAGGAAGCAAAAACAACGACAACAAAATTTAAGACTCATGACAATGGGAACATAGTGAGGTTCAATCAGGGGAACGACGACAATTCAAAGGAACTGCATCAGATGTCTAAACCTGAAAAACTTTCAGCCTTGGAAGTTAAGGAAGCTCGCACGACTTTGTACAGCTTGGTTCAGCAGCATCATCTAGCTGAGTTTCAACTTATCAGGCAAGGGAAACGAATTCCAAGGAACAGCAACCTTCTCAGCCTTTGACCCTTCTTCGACAATGAGAGCAACTTAACTCGTGTTGAAGGACGCCTCGTCAATTCACCAAATGACATCAACAAAAAGTTTCCGGTGCTCATTCCCAGGAAGTCACCAATTAACAAATTGCTCATTAGGGAAGCGCATGAAAAATTGCTTCATAGCGGTCTTCAGATGACACTCTACACCCTTCGACAAACAGTATGGATACCAGGAGGCCTCGCGTTGGCCAAACAAGCAATTCATAAATGCAAGCCTTGCATTTGACAGGATGCCAGACTTCTTCAACCAGAAATGGGAGATTTGCCCTCTAATGATACTAATTAGAGGGCAAATGATACTAATAATGATACAAGAGGGAGATTTGCCCTCTTGTTACGCCCTCTAATGATACTAATGTTGCACTCGCTTCAACGCCAGGAAATTTTCTCATCGGAAGACCATTGACAGCAATGCCGAGTTCTACGCGCGACAAGAAGACATCGCTCAGTCGACAAATCAAAACCATTGATAACATAGTTCGACAATTTTGGAAACGTTGGAAGGAAGAATACTTGACTTCTCTGCAGCAAAAAGCTAAATGGACGACATCGCAATCACGACAAATCGCCATTGGAGACATTGTTATTGTCAAAGAGGACAACATCCCGCCTTTGAGGTGGCCAATGGGTCGTATCTCTAAAGTTTTTGATGGAAATGACAACATCATCCGGGTTGCACAAATCAAAACCCGAACAGGATTTTACAATCGACCAGTCAACAGATTTGTACTGTTGCATTCCGACAGAAATTGATCGACTACGGAACTCTCTTCATTCAGGACATTACTCAAGGATTTCTTGTAGCCGCTTTTTTAAACCCGTTCAAGAAGGCCGGGAAATGTTGTGACTTATCTCTACAAGGCACTGTAGCCGGGCAAACTGTAACCATGCGGGCAACTGTAACCGTGCAACTATTGACTTTAACAAAGTTTGTGAAACTGATACAGAAAATCATTTTTCTCAATTCTGAACAGTTTGACTTTCTCACGTTTACATGTTGATAATCTAGGTCTTTATCTTAATTTGGTTAGGAATCTAGGATTTAGGAATAGAATTGAAATATATCAACATATACTATGCTCAAATCTGACCCAACAAAAATTTTTACTTGTAACCAAATTAATTCTCTCCTCCCTGTTTTATTACAGGTTTGCAAATGGATAAATTATAGCGCTCATATTTCGTATGACGGACCAACTTAACATCCCCCCCCCCCCCCAAAAAAAAGCCGTTTGGGGGTGAGGATGTTAACTTTGTTCTAAGTTGGGATTTTTCAGCCAATCAGAATCGAGCATTTCACATGCAGCGCTTAGCAAATTTAATTTAAATTAAACGTTGGGGTGGAGGATCTTAACTTCGTCTGTTGGGAGGGGGATGTTAATTTAATCCTTTTTGACTTACTAATTGATCTCAGTCTAAAAAGGTCAGCATTTACGTTCACGTTCCCGATGTCTTCCGAATGCAGCCTCCTTTTTCGTAAATTGAACCTCGACAAAGCCGATGACTTCTTGCCTAACGCTCTATTAGCAGAAACTTCTGCAGCTTCACTTGCATCTACAATCTGCCGTTGACCAATCAGATCGTCTCGCTTTCCTTTCAAACTGTTCGCTTTTTTGAGGGACCTGTTCTTGTTTCGGTCTGTGACTTTTCCGACCATCCAGCCAACCGGGTTAGATTGCCTTCTACGAAACCTGTGTAAAAAAATTAAATCCAATTTCAAAGGTGAATTTTTGTGCGTACGCAATTTTTGGTTAATTACAAGTGGGGAGAAATTTCAAAAAAGTCAAAGATTGTTTTGTCCAAAAAATGGAGTGTTTTGGGATGTTTTGGAATGCTTCGTCCAAAACAACTTTCAGGTCGAATCCTTATAGGGGTACATGCGGGCGTGGAACGTACACGAGGGAAAATAAAGACAGTGCTAATCATGCGCGGATCTAGGATTACTCGAGTGGGGACGGATTTTCAAAAAAAATGTTGAAAATTTTGTCCACATATTTTTTAGGTCGACCAAATTAATTTTCTGAGCTCTCCCAAATCAATGTAAAGACCCTATATTGACCAACTTTCCGGCGCCGCAGGCAAATTGTTCAAAAAGCAGGCCAAAAAGGCGTTTTTATGCAATTTTGGAAAATTTCGACCAAAACAATTCGACCTAAAATTGATATCTCAAAACAGTACAAAGGGCGAATCACTAAATCCGCCACTGGTGCTAATATAGATTATGCGGAAAAAATGGAATTTAAAACACGTTTTTCTCCAACTGGATTAAACTTAGACAAAAAATGATCTCGAAAATTCAAAATCGCATGTAAATTGTTGTCTTGCAAAATTTATGCAACAGAAAACAATAAGAAAATAAAACAAAACTGTAAGCAATACTGACTTGAGATTCAATGACATCACATCAGAATCTGGATACCCCAAATGACCTCCATTCACCTGCTGCTGTTCAATAGTTCGAACGAGTTCCAATTCTTCACTAGGCGAATAAGAATCGAAGAAGTTATTGGCAGAAAAAGAGGTTGATGGGGTTAGTTTGGGATGAGAAACTTGAGTTCCGTTTGGGTTTGATGATGAGTTCGGAGAACTTGTTGAATCTGAAATTCAAACTGTCCGTATGGGATAAGAATATTACATGGTTCTGCCATAATTAATCTGATTTTGTATGTCATAAAATTATTAGAAGATTTATTGTCATAAAATTGTATCTTCTTACGAATTATGAAAGTTATTTTGTATCTCTATTTGAGTTAGTTATTTAGAAAAAAATCTATTGACACACCAATTGGCATTGATATAAAATCACTGTGATAGGAATTGCGTGCAAGAAAAATTGTTTCTACTCAGCTTTACAAAAATCAGAGCATGCTTTTGCGCTTCGTTCCAGTTGAAAGAACTACTTTGAGGAGAACTGAGAGTTGATTTAATAAACTTTCTTACAAAGAATTCAAAAATTAAAGCGATGATTCATTTTTGATTCATTTATACAAATTACAAACAGCAAATAACAATTTCAAATTTGTAACGAGTGAGCAAAAATCTAAGCCAAAAACAAAAAAAACGGATACAAAATGCAAGACTTACCAACATCCCTTGCGTTCCATCCACTTTTTGCATCCTCTTCCTCTTTGTCAATGATGGCAGTAAGAATGAGGATGATGATCTGGTTCAGAGTATCGGGGTCACACAGAAAGGTCAGCAAGGTCAGCAGACTCTGGGTCAAAATAGAGGTCAACACTTTCTGACCAGGGCCCTAAAAGCTTAATTGTATCTTTATACATAAATATCCTAATCAGTTCAACTTTGTCAAAGTTCTACTTGTTAGAAGTATACCACAAATAATCATCAATATGGTTCGACATATAAATTAAATCATTATTAACGCCTTGTAATCATGATTAGAACGGCAATGAAAGTTTTGCCGAAAAAAAAACTCACTGTCGAAAAAACCAGGATTGAAATGTTTGTTTTCACTTTTATTTCGAGCGATTAGAGCAAGCGGGTAGAAGTCGAAAAGGAAAATTCCTACTTTAGATTTGACAAACTGATTTTAGGATGTCTAGAAAAAATTTTGTTTTCGATAGTTTATTTTGCGCTTCCTTGGCACGAATGATTTTTTGAAAAAACCTTCACGAGGTCCTCACACCGCACAGAGTATAAAACAAAACGATAAATTGAATTATTGTAGTCAGAGTTTGCAAGAAATAATAAGATTTTGCATTTTACTGCTAAAACATTTTAAACTTATATTATAGTTCAAAAACAGCAGACTAGAGTTACAGTTTGAAAAAGATTAATCTTAAAAGTGATCTTATGGTTTTAACTACTAGCCCTAACATAAAAGATTAACAGCAAAAACAGTAATATTTTACAAATTCAGATGTTTGATCAAAAGGTATAAATGTTAAATCAACAGTGAATATTCCACGTGGTTAAGGAAGGTAAGTCTGAAAAGAAGCTTGAAAAATTCTCTCAGAATTTAAATTTTTTCTACAAGAATCTTGCAAAATTTGCATGCCAAGTACATTAGGACAGAAACCCGCACCTGATCCTCGAATTTTAGAGTTTATCGCAGAACTTTGAGTACTCTTAGAGTGTATCGACATAAATACTTTGATTCCCATGTTTTAGTCCTAAATTACCAAAAACTTGTTTCGTCCTAAATTAACAAAAATTTGTTAGTCCTAATTTTGTTTTGTTATGTAAACATAGCTTTTTGTTCTAACTAATAAAAATGGGGAGAAAGCTTATATCTGCTTGGGTTTTAGGTTATTCTTTTATTTTGATTTCCACTCAAAATCAGGTCCAACAAATAATCATCGAATTGATTGAATGATAAGTCATAACAAAGCCTTTTTAGCCGTGAGTCGAACAATTTCTCAAAGTCTTGGAAAAGTTTTCTCAGTTTTGAGGAAAACATGTTTGAAAATTTTGCTTTGCGGTCTAATTTCGCGCGAATAAGATGAGCGAGCAGGCTTAATTTGTTTTTCAACTAAAATCATTAACCACAGATAATCAGTCTAATGGGTAGAAAGACTTATCATATTCAAGTCCTTTCAGTCCCAATTTGAACGGCATTAATATATTTCCAAAAATTTGTCCTAGTGTCGAGAAAAAGCTTATTATAGAAGGATAATCCCGGAAATTTTATTTTTTTTTCAGTATTTTGTGGAAAAAAATTCGAAAACTCAAAATAATTTCAGCAAAAAACGTTGAAAAAAAATGCTGAAATTTTTTTCGAATTATGTTTTGATTTTTTTCTTGTTGTTTGTCGAAAAACTTGTTGCTCGATTTGCTTTTTTTATTTGTCGAATATGATTTACTGGTAAGTTTTCGTCATACCTTTTATCACACTAGCCCATCAAAATTAACACTTTTTGTCTTTCTTCAAGAGTATAGTCGGAACAATCTGTGCCACTTGCACAATAACATGCTATACTAGCTTATTTTTCACCTGTCATCATCTGCCAATGTTAGTGACGGTGAGCTTAACCGTCAGTCAATGTCTTCCCTCCCGTACACAGCGGACTTTCTATACAAGATCTGAAGTTTTTTTTATTTTATACATGCAATGATTTTCAGATCTGAAATTCGTTTTTTTCAGATGATTTTGATAAGATTTTGAAAAGTTCAGATCTGAACTTTGGATCTTCGATAGAACGATAGATATGAAAATATATCTATGAAACCCTTTGTTAAATTATAGTATCTGCATTGGGAGCAAAAATTTTGATTTTTAGTTTTTTACTGTTTTTGCAAAACACAGTTGTATTTAGATTAGTTAGGCAAGAATATATCCGAATTAATAGACAAACAGTTGTTTTTCAAATTAAACTTATTTTCCATTTTTTTTGAAAAAAAAACTCGAAAATTGTTTGAAGACTTATCAAAGTTTTGTATTTCATGCGCTATTTAAGCATTTCGGATGTTTCTCATGTAACTTTGGGAAACACATTTCAGAAGTCTCCGAATGGAGATTTTTTGCTAAGTATTTGCAAGAAGCTGACAGAAGCTATAAAGTACAGAATAACCTAAAATAGCAAAAATATATATCAAAATTTTTGATAATTCAGATCAGAAATAGCCATGAAAAACAAAACTTCAGATTTGAAATCAGATGCAAAAAAAATCTAATTTTAATGTGCTAAGAAGTTATTTTAGTTTTTCACAAATCATTTCAGATCTGAAAAAGGTCATTTCAAATCTGATTTGAAACATTTACTAGATAGTAGAGTGCGTAATCGACATGAGCATATCGTTTTCTTATAGATTACACGGACATGCGATGCGAACAATCAAGTGCAATTTCGACGCATAAAGAATGCCTAGATTGAATGATATCCTGCAAACACGCGTTTAATAATTCTATATTGATTATAACCCAGGATCGGTGGTCGAGTACTTATCCCGCGTCAAAATTTAATACAAAAACTTGACAAAAAGAATTTATTACTGAAACTAGAGAAATTAGAACTGGCAAAAATTTGCCGTGATTGGTTTGGAAACAAAATTTAAAAAATGTTATACCCTTACCCAGTAAGTGTTTGAACTCAGATCTGAAATGATCTGTTCCAGATCTAAATTTTAGATCTGAATTAGGTTGCGAAATGTTAAATATCGCTTGAGTACTTTAAGAAATGGTTATCATATCTAATTACATAGCTGAAATTTTGTTTTTCTCGTTTATTTCAGATCTGAACTTTTTTCATGGTTATTGCAGATAATTTTTTTCATGATTATCTGAAAAACACCTCAATTTTTGAAACAGCAATTTTTGCTACACATGTGTAATTTATAGCCTTTGCTAGATGCTAGCAGGTACTCAGTAAAGTTTCTATTCCGAGACGCTGAAATACGTTTCCCATGTGCATGGGATACACATCGGAAAATCAATAATTTGATAGGTTTGATAGTTTGATAACAACAAATTTAGTTAAAAAAACAGTTTGTGTCATTATTGGGAAACTTTTTAAAGGTAATTAATCAAATCATTGTTGCGTTGCAGAAACAGCAAAAATGGAAACTCAAAACTTTGCTTAAAAAATGCATATATTATAATTTTGCAAAAGATTTCTCAGATTTAATTTCAGATCTGATTTTTTTTTTGTTTTTCATTTCTATTTCAGATCCAAATTTTAAATCTCAAATTTTCAAAATCTTATCCAGATCTGAAATAACGTATTTCAGATCTGAGAAAAAATTCAAGTAAGAAATATAGGTTTTCAGATCTCGTATAGAAACTCCGCAGGGTATGGGTGGGACCCTAAGAAAGGAAAACGGCATCGATTAACACATTAGCCCTCGGCGAACTATGTCGGAAAAAGAAGTGTTCTACGAGAGATTCGTGCACAGCTTGCATATATGTCTACCTCGTTTTGCCGAACACCTCGGACAACTACCACCACTATTTGGTCTGAAAAAATGAATACGCGAAACAACGGTTGAAAGATGTATACGGCTATGACTCAGCGATGTTTCATTATGGGATATACGGTTCAATCAGCAAGAGAACAGTTGTCAGTTTTCTCTAAGAAAATCTCAACCACTTCTCAGACGCCTCAAAGTTATTAGAACAATTTCAACTAATTATGGCAAAAGTATAATTTTCATCTTTAAAGATTAAAATTATACTTTTGCCATAATTAGTTGAAATTGTTCTAATAACTTTGAGGCGTTTGAGAAGTGATTGCGATTTTCTAAGAGAAAACTGACAACTATTCTCTTGCTGATTGAACCGTAAAAAAACAACAGAAGTTGTGTTCAGACTAAAGTGTTCGCGAAATTTTTTTTTGTAGAACTGAATTCATTTCTACGAAAAAAATTTCGCGAACCCTTTAGTCTGAACACAACTTCTGTTTTTTTTTCACCTCGACCAGCTATTCTAGTTGGGACTTTGTAATATGTTTTGATATTTTGTTATTATCATCTTACGTTTTTCAAGAATGCTCTCACGTCTGTGTTTTCCCTCCCAACATGGCTTAGAATAATATCCAGAAGATTCCCAAAGTGCTTCTTGGCTGCCTCGTCATTGGAACAGGCCACGTGAAGGGGTTCGAACAGGGAGTAGATCTGGCTGATGCTGGACTGAGACCAGATACGGTGCTGGATAGTAAAAAACAAAAAAGAAATAGAATAAAACTACTGTCTTCATGGTTGGCTGACTCATCGCTTAAAACTAGAGATGACTGAAAACAGACATAATTTGCCTACTAACAATGCCCCAGACTGGGTTTTTCTAACATGATTTTCAAAAATTGATTTGATGAATTTGGATCTATGCTGTAAGCAATTTATATAGATCGATTAATTTTCCGATTTTTGTAACGAAAGTAACGGAATATTTGTGCTCGGGGTGGGTTTTTTTTCTTCAGACAAATTTGAACTTTTTAACTAGCCATTTTTGACGGAACTTTTAAATATCATTCGAAAGGTATTGTTGTCCTGAGCTCAAATTTGAAAAGATTTTTTACCTGTGACCATTTTTGTAAAGTCATGGGGGTTTAGGGATTGGCATTTTGGCAAATTTGGGCGCTATTAACGCGCTATTAACGCGCTATTAACGCGCAAGCGGAGATTTAACCCGTGTTCGAAATCATTCCAAATTGGTTGGAGGAAGCTAAATTAGGATGTGGTAGGAAGGTTTGAACATAAAATGCATGGAGAGAGAGAGAGGGGACGCGTGATATCTCCAATTTTCAGAGGAATTAAAGGCTCTTTTTCCTCCCCCCTAAACCCCCCCCCCCCCCACCTCCCACGACCATCAAATTTATGGTGTAACGAGTGGTTTTACAAGGTTGAATATGAAGACCAAATGTGTTTGCCACATCCTAATTAGTCCGCATGTCAATTTTAATGATCGGACAATTTGAACAGTAACATAACTAGTAAAAAATTTCAGGTGGGTGGAAAGGAAAAAGAGCCGAATTGGATTCTGAGTAGGCCTTGATTAATGCACAAGTTGTTGCAGTTTAAATTAATCATTCAAAAATTTTTAAAAAACATAAATTCATGCTTGCCGCCTGACACGTGCCTGAAAAAGTCAAACGTGCTCAATTCTCTACATTATCAAAATTATTAAAGCGAATCCTGTTTTGCTATAGGATCTATTTTTGCCATAGGCTCTACTTTTATGCACTCTGATAAAATTGCGGCTCTTTTCCAGTCCCCCCCCCTTTTCAAAATACCGAGTTTTATGTTTGATTTACATGTTATTACGGCTAAATGCGTGATGTTATGATGTAAAGTATGAAGAACAAATCTGTTGACAGATGTCGATTTGTTCACCGCGCCAAATTTCATTGCATTATGACAACGTTAAATAAGCTTTTCAAAATTAAATTTGAAAGGGGGGAACTGGAAAAGAGCCAAAATTGCATTCTAGTTTTTCTTACCTGTTGATCGAAAATGGCTCGATAAGTGGACAGATGCCCTGCGCATATCTGGACAACCAAATCCACTAATTTGGGAGCAGGAATTTCGACCAGTCTATGGACCACGTCACACCTGACTCTGACTAGAGCTTGTTCTGTCCATTGCAGAATGTCTCTATTTCCAGGGCTAAAAAGTGTGATGACTTCTTTGATGTATGTGTTTTATTTTAGGGATTTTCTTTTTAGGGCTTAGGAGTGATAAAATCTTAGGTGCATGGGTTTAATGTTGTTACTTTCAGGCCCCAAAAAACTTAATTCACTTCTTAGGTCTATGGGTATATTCAAACTTTTATGGCTCGAAAAACGAGGATGATTATTGGCAAACTGATTACTGTTAAAGAATTTTTTTTTAAGGTTTTAGTCATTTGTTTCGAATGCTTTGAAACAAATGTGAAAAACTAAGTGGTTTCACTGTGGAAAACAATTCTACTCCTTCAATGTTTCAGTAAAACGTCAGAAATTCATTAAACTATTTACAGTTCCATGTTCTATTAACCAATACAAAATAGTGCACTACTCAACTACAGTATTTAGAGCCTTAGACAAAAAATCATTCGCCTGAATTTTTTATCTAATTTTGTGATAAGTTTGCAAACAGCATCTTCAGAGTTGCATCTGATCTTTTGGTGCATGAACTTTGCATAATAGTTTCGAATTCAAACCGAAATCCTTCGTTTGATAACTCATGTAACTAATTCTATTAGACACCCGGGTTGACCAAAAAGGCTTGTCTTACAATTTTCATACATGAAAAATTGCTTATCATACAATTTTGTACAAATCCATAGATATAGAAAAAGTTCAGAAAACTCTAAAGTAAGAAATCTCTAATTTAAGTCGATTTATATCCATTTCAGTACCAAAAATGTACAATATTAATCAATTTGTACTGATTTAAAGTCGATTAAAATCAATTTGTATTGATCCGGAGCCAATTTTGTCAGTGCAGAGCAGCAAAACTAGAATTAAAAACAGAGATTCAGAAAAATGATAATTATTATCACGGAATTCTAACCAGTAAACTACCCGGGTTGGCCTCCATAAACCAAAAATGCTTATCTTACTGATTATACAATTTTCATACAATTTCAAAAAAAATTTCCCAGTAAACTTGAAATTGCCCCAAATATTTTTTTCAACCGCAAATAGAAATTTTAGCATGCAAGTTTTAATTTTTTGTCTGCATAACGTAGTCCTGGATACATAAAAAATTGGATTTTTTTTCCGTTTCTCCGGATAACTTTTTTCAAACAGGGTAAAAACTCATATTTCCTTCGACATGTTCATATATGCCTTGATCAACGTCTGACAGTTCGAAAATTCTAATTTTAAAAATAATCATCCTTGAAAATTTTTGCCAAAACCTAAGAGTTTGATGCTTTCAATATGATTTGTAAAAAGAACTCTTACACAATTTAGGTCGTTTTCAATGCGTTGTAAATGCCTGACGATCAGCCCTTTGGTGACTCTAGTTTAGAGTAAACCATGGGTTTAGTCACTTGTGTTCGGTCACGAAGAAATCTCAAAAATTTTGAGAATTTTTTTTTATATAACTGTTTTTGGCCTAAGAAGAAACGCTTATCCTACAATTGCAATGACTAAATGCAACAAAAATTAGAAAACTATGAAAATTGAAAAAAAAATTGACCAAAATCGATTTAAATCCGTTTTTTCACCCTGAAAACAAAACCAATCTAAGACAAAAAATTGGATCGATTTTTCAGCTGAGATTTAAAACCGATTTAAATCAGTTTAAAATTGATCCAAATCAATCTTAATTTTTCTTTTAAATTTTCGTACTTTATTTTTTTTATGCTATAATCGATCCTAATTTTTTTTCAGTGCGGTACCGCTGAGCGATATAGCTATATCTGTATGACTGAAAATTCAGTCGTTTTCAATAACACTATGGCACTAAGTGGCCTTAATAATTCAAATTAATAACAAAAATATGTACATAAAGGTAATCATTTCAAGGTTATGGCAACCGCAGTACCACAATCTGGCACGTCAATCAGTAAACAGCATGTAAGTTCAGCGACCAGATCCTAGCCGGGATAGAAACGTCAGAAAAGCAGTAAAATCATGTCTAGACATTTATCGACAAGATTTTAGCACATTTCTATCTCTACTCTAACTATAACTGAATCGTCAATCGATCATTTCTGGTATCTTGCAACATCACATATCAATTTAAGTCAATAAAAAGAAGGTATAAAAACCTAAATCTTTTGCTGGATTGTTTAACTTTTGAATTTTTCATTTTGTAACTTTTTGAGATATACAGGCATTGACCTAGGACTTTCACGAGTGTGAGTTATTCAAAAATTATGACGGCTTTTCTTATGTCGGTCAAATTTACTTTCTTAGCTCTACCAAATCACAATGCAGTCTCTATTTCATTGTATAAAATTTGCCAGAACAGTGGTTTTTAGGCATTTGAAAAAAGATTTTAAAACAAATTGCGTTTTTCTTGGCTCCCCTAAAAATTTGTTTGGGTATTGACGCCGATTCCACCTTTAATAACACTACAAGTACAATCCTAACAAAAGCGATTGAGCTAAACATTGCTGAATTGTAATCGATGCTCGAGCTTAACATTGGTAAAGTATTGCTGGTCATTACTGATTTGCTCATTAATATCAATACGGAATTTGAAAGAAAAACATGGCCGAAAAAAGCTTGCTAGAATTTTCTCAAAGTTGGACCAGTATAACGAGCTACAACCCAACTGAAAACTCGAGCAAATTTAGCTGAGTTAACACGGGTAGACCTCGCAGAGATAGTCTCAAGTCTGATTCAGCATTAATTCATGAATCATTGCTGCCTGCAAATATACTGATCATGGATAATTAGCCACTGACTGGGGCCTGAAACAGCAAAAATTATCTCTCCTGTGCAAGCCCGGGAAATGTTTTTAGCTTTTTGTTTCCCTGTGATTGAGATAAAAAGCCAATCTTTTCCCAATGTTTCTCCGCATTTTACTGCAGAACTTTTCAATAACTTCTGCAGACTGCGCAGAATTTTCAATAGTTCTGTTTTACTATGAGAAAAGACAAAGTTAAAGAAAAATAGCCGGTGATTGCACAAGTAGCACAGAAGGTTCCTAGCACTATCACAAAAAAAACAAATAGAGGAATTTTGATTTTTTTCATTAATTTACAAACACGTTGAACATTAGTTAATTAGGTAGAGTTTTGGGAAGAATGCTACAGAAGTTAACCAGCATAAGCGAGTTATTGATATTAAGTGCTTTGTGTTTTGTTTGAAGTGAATATAAATGCGAGTGATTTGAAGTACGTGTATACATGATCACATGGATGGAATGGAACCAAAGAAAGGCTAATAACTGTTCAGAACGTCCAGTGTTCTCTGTACAAGTGTTGAGCACATAGAAGCCAAAACAGCCATTTCAGTAAATAGTACCAAGTTAAGCTGCCAAAAATTCGCATTTGCTCGTGATAATTGCATCATATATAGGTGTAATAAATTAAATCAACGAGAAATAAGGGTCATCGCAACCGATCACAGAATTGGATTCAGTACGCCAGTCGTCACAGGCAATTGTTGCATTATAATAGTTCTCCCTTGTGTCATACAGACCAGGCCCAAACACGTCTCCTAGAGTATCCAGCTGAATAAAATTGGCTTCTGAGTTATCGGGCTGAGTATCTGTTCAAGGGATTGTCAAAATGATCCTAATATAACACAATTTATCCACAGGGGAAAGGACCAACATACCAGCTGTACAATTACTCACGGAGAACCGTTGTTGTGTCTAATATTTGTCGCAATTTCAAATGTTTCAATTCAAATGTGGGGGGATTTCGCAAGTGTGACAGATTTATCCGCACTCAGTAAAAAGAGAAAACAAGATTGCTCGTATCAGGGCGGAGCCCTGAAAGTTCTGACTGCCTTTTAACATTTATGGAGCAGTAATAACATAAACAACATTAAAAAATCATATGAAATAAATTAAAATGAAAAACATTTTTTTTTCTAAAATTTGAAAAAAATTTTCCGTGAAAATCATCCCCCACACGCCATACAGAGTACAAAACAATAGATTTCGCTCGTTGTAACAAATCAATTGGGGCAAAGAAGCTTCTTTCAACCAGTTTGGAACGATTTCTAAGACGGATTAAATCTCCGCTTACGCGTTAATAGCGCGAATTATATCGCGCGTCAATTGTCCCAAATTGGTCAAAATGGCAAAAATGGCACTCTTTAAACCCTCATACATTTACGAAAAATGATCACAGATGAAATAACTTTTCAAATTAAAGCTCAGGACAACAATACTTTTTGAATAATTTTTTAAAATCTTGTCAAAAATGGCTAGTTAAAAAGTCGAAATTTGTCTGAAGGAAAAAACACCCATCTCGAGCACAAATATTCCATTACTTTCGTATCGAAAGTCGAAACAATAAAAGATTACAATGGATTTTATTGTCAGTCTCCATAAGTTTCAAAAAGAATTGATCATAATCAATTAAAATTGGATCATAATGTTACTACTTTTCGAAACAATAAAAATCAAAATAATCGATTTATGAAATTTTTTTCTCAATTTTATTTGATTTATAATCCATTATGATGGAAAATTATCCATTATTATTGAACAAACTTCAACGTTTGATTTCATTTTAATTTTGTTTTGTCTTGTGTGCTTTTCAGTTGGTTACCGAACTAAAAGAAACTTTAATTTTGTACTTAAAACCACCAGCGGATTTAGGAAGACGGCGTCGGAGGGCCAACACCTCCCCCCCTTCTCTCTGGGATTCCATGCCTGCCGACCCAAAAGGTATCCCCATTTTCCTCCCACTATTTTGACATCCCCTCACTAGTTTGAGGTCCCCCCACTATTCACTATTTTGAGATATCCATTTTTGTTGACGAACCCTAAAAATGTTCTAAAGGCGACTTCGGCGCCAAATTATACTAGATTTGAGGGGGAGCACGCGCCGCAAAAATGCAATTTATTTGGTCAAAATTTTCCAAAGAGTGCCAAGAAACGCCTTTTTGTACGTTTTTTTGTCAAAATTTTGCATGCGGCGCAAAAAAAATGACAAAAACAGGATTTTCATAATGCCTTGGGAGAGCTTGGAATCAATCTAGTCAACATTT